AGCATCTGAAACAAAAGAAAGTGGGTCTTTTAGGGCAATGCAGAGCTGTCTGTATGGAATAACTATTGCTTTATTTTTGTTCGTTAATTTCTGTCAGTTAAAGCAACATCCATCTTTTCCTCTTTTCATTAATTTTACTAAAGTTAAGTGCCATTTTTTAAAATCCCCCACCTCTCATACCTAACCGTCCATGGAAGCCTCTGCAAGCACAAAATGGAGCAATACATGTCAATGTCCAATCATGAGAACACTTTGCACAACTTGACACTACTAACCTCTTAAAAGTGTTATAAGTGACACTAAACGGTGTTCCTGAAAGAGCTGTTCTAGCTTGTACTGCAGATAGTAGTCTGTGTATGTCTCTAAAGTATTTTTGAAGAGAATTCTTCCTCCCATCAAGATATGATGAAGCCAGTCAGGAATATGGAAAACAACTCTACCTGTAAGGACACTATCATTACATTTTGAATATGAATACACTTCCTATTTTTAAAACTTAAACTTTCAAGGTAACTGCCAACCATGGAGCTAGACTTCCATGTTCTAAAAATTACATTACTGAAAGGTTTATCTTACACAGTATTTATAAAATACTATCTGCAGAAGGTAGATTAATCAGTTAGCCATGGTAGCTGAATGGTAACTTCCGTATTCAGAGTCAGAATCCCTCTGAGACCCAACTACTCAGAAGCAACAAAGGGGTAGAACTGTTGCTTCCATGTACTGCTGGTTCCTTTCCAAAGCTATCTGCGAATGCACTCTATTGAAAAAAAGGCTCTCCACTAGCCTGGCCCTACCAAGGCAATTCATTCTCATTCATTCTCTCTCTCTCTCTCTCGTACTTTCATGCTGCAAACACGTCAATGTCCTAAAGAGCTTGGTAACTTGGGTGGAAGTGCTCACACAGATGCTATTAGTATGACTGTGCAGTGACTAATGCCTTCTGAGATATGCCCAGAACTGGGGTTTTTACAGGCCATTACAGTTGCAGCTCTGGCTGGATGCTAAGAGGTACCCTCATTGTTTGAGGGAGGGCAGGATACAATACTGACAGTGTGCTTGGACCTCGGGTTCATGCAACCCCTATCCTTCAGGAATTTGTCTATTCCCCTTTTAATCTGAATTGGTGCCTGTCACTACATTTTGTGGTAGTGAAATCCATTGTTTGATGGTACATTGTGGTCTTCCTTTCATGTATCCTGAAGTTCTCACCAATCAGCTTAATGGGATGATTCCTGGTTTTTGTGTTATGAAAGAGAAACATGCCTCTCTGGTCGCCTTCCCTATACCACACATAGTTTTGTAAGCATCTATCTTGTCTTCCTCTACTTTTCTAGGCTAAGCAGTCCAACATACTTGTTTACATTGACCTACACCTGCCAGTTTGATGCCCAAACCTCCAAATTTAGAGAAATCCTTCTGGATTTCTTCACAGTCCCTTTTTGTTTCAATCAACCCAAATAAATGGCGCTTCTGAACCTCTTACCCCATTCCTGCATGCATGCATGCATGCACACGCACGTGCACACACACACACACTCTCTCTCTCTCTCTCTCTCCTATGGACTAGCTTACCACTCCTTCAATCATACACACACCAGAGTGGCCAGAAGGGCAGATAAGCAAATGCCACTACTGAAATCTGTGGTGCACAGGATGTCATAATCATTTTTCTCAACCTCCCAGAATACATCCCATGAGGGGTGTTGCATATAAATGCATCATGGGAATTGCAAAAAGGAAGCTTTTGTACTCCTGATCTTGGAAATCAGAATGCCTAATGCTGGGACAAACTGGCAATGCATACATATTGCCAAAAGAACTAGAAAGCTCATTGCACCAGCAAGCCTCAAACTGAAAAACCAACCCAGTTTTAAGCTGATGGCTATACTTAATGAAGTGATAATTCCACAACTCTTGACTATTCTTCATGCTAAAAAATCTAGATGCAGTTTCTCACCAATATACATTAAGTAGTCATAGACGCCTTCAACAGTCATCATTTCCATGAAGTAGTTCTGATTTTGTCTTCTCTCTAAATTTTCAGAGCGGTTGGCATTGTTCTTATAGAGTTCGTTAAAAAGCTAAAATCAGAGAGTGACAAGTTTTTCAATTCACAGATACTAAACAGTTCACTACCAAAGCATTTGACTGTAATTTTGGATTGGATTCAGTGGGAATCCTGACATTCCACAGCAGAATTATTGAAAATATCTGAAGTTCTGAAATAGGATCTGATATAAAACAGAAAGATAAGCCATTATTTCATATGTCAAGCTAATCTGAAGGTTAAAACTGCAGTTTTCTCAGATTACCTATACTTTGTAGGTTTGTCAGTCATTAAACTAACCTTGACCACAGTACTTGGCTCTTCCAGACTTTGGTGCTGTGGTTTTGGTTTCACTTTGGTGCTGTGAAACTACAGGCAACATTTCCAAAAATGGAACAGCTAGCAAAGCAAAACAAGCCTGGATACCTTTGCTAAAACATCATGATTTTCTTCCATCAATGAACCAGTCTCTGAGACTGAAAGAAACTTGGCTTCAACTTTATGCAGTAAGTTTTTTCAGAGCACTGATAACCTTTTATGGAGTACACATTTCATGCATAGTGTCTATGGATATGAGAAAGAATTCCAGCTCCAAATCTCACTTTAGCCTCAAAGTTACAGGCAGCAATGAATAAAGGACATTATTTGCCAACTGTACAGGATTATATTGATGATTAAGATAATACACATGACCCGCTAATGAAAAGACCAGTGTAAATGTTTAGTATTACTGGGATAGGATGAGAGGAGCTTATTGGCATAGTTACAAGGGAAAAGCAGAATCAAGGGCCTTCCAGTGATTATAGAAAAAGAATTCTTTACTCCACGTGACACTCTGAGCATCTTCCTTTTTCTCAGGATCAGCTGCCTCACCGTCACACACGTCTCCCCCACAAGAGACAAGCTTTAAACATGAAATCCAGATTTTAAAATCCATTTTGAAATCTGAATAGTAAATGAGTATTTTTTGCTGGAAAATAATTCTAAAATACTCTGTATCTAAATCAAATAAATCATCCTAGATCTCACTGGTTCTTCAATATTACTTTCATAGAATCAGCTGTCGTCTTTTTTTCATTTCTTGCCTCCACCCATCTCTGAACCATCTCAAGTTTCCACATATCTTTAGAAAGCGTGAAACCATTGTATGAATGTTTTACCAACAGCAAGAAACCAGTTCTTTAAAAAAAAATCCCACACAGTGTCAAGGCTTTATATTCTTTTCTGTTTCTACTGCAGAAAATTCAGATGTATACTATAATGATACTGGCAAAATGAGGTTTAAATGTAGGATACAGGAAATTGATTTCATAAGTGCAATGGGAACTTTATATTTGCTTTACTCGTGAAACAAAAGTCCCAAATGCTTCAAAGATGCAGTAGGTGTGTCTGGGCAGTGTTTGGCTTTTTGCTTCAGCTGCCAGTGTGTCCTGCAGCAGAATCTGGGCAGTGCAACATGCTCCCAATCTGCCTGCTTTAGGTGAAGACCACCCTTGGTTCTCTCTGTGCTGCTCTCAGGTCCCTGGGTGTAGCATTCCACTGGCAGAACTAGGATGAGAGCTTTCCCTCAACCAGTTCTAGGCACATTCGGGTCTTAGTTAGCAATGCTAGGATTCAAGCTGAGCATTTGCCTGTACTCAGATAGGCCAGATGTGGCTGTCAGTGATGGGGGAAGAACAAGGCTTAAAAAGCTTTCTAAATAGCCATGGAGTCACTACCTTGCTGGTAGAGAATGAGGTGGCTGCCAGGGAACATGTGGGCTAAAGCAGGAAAGGAAAGTGGGCCACAAAGCAGATATAGCAAATGCAAATTAAATAAATCACCATGGTATATACAAATATTCAGAGGTAAATCTCGCTGCCCATGCCCCCAGCAATTTTCTTCCCAAAAGACATACTGTACCTTTTTGTTGTTTTCAGAAGTAGGACTGAGAATAGTAAGCTCTGGTTTACTTGGTTTAGGCTTGGGAGATTCACAGGAATTAATAAAATTTATAATGAATGGCTCCAAGTGCTGGCCTTTCTGAAATTAACCAAACAATGGCTGTAACAGGCAAGTTTTCAAAGTAAGAATTACATGGGCCAAATTCACAAGTGGTTATTATAAAAATATACTGATTGCAAACTGCATAAATGAAGAAAACTGCAAACTACCTACCTCTTTCATTAATTTTCCAGGAACAGATTTTATTATTTTGCCTGCAATTGAAAGTAAGAAAAAATAAAGCATGATGCTCTGCTTTACTCTTCTTCCTATTTTATAGGCCCAGTCTGTTTAAAAGCTAAACATCTTATGCAGCTATTTTATCTTATGAAAAGACTACACTTTGTGCCACTGGGACAAAGGCTTCAATCATAGCATGCATACTTAATCCAAGGCCCTCCAGATGGTTTTGACCTATAAATTGCCTACCCCCAACTAAAATCTAAAAGCAGTCGCATGTGTAGACGAAGAGAGTCTATTAGTTTCCCTTCATTTATGACAGGGGACACACACAGCCCACCCTCCACTGCTGCCCCATTCCCACCTGGGCTATGGGATTACTTCTTCTAAGCTAATGTCCTCAGGGAAGCAGTGCTCCCAGTCAGGTTTGTTCTCCCAAACATGAGGCAGCCTCTCCTGTCCACAGTTACTCTTACAGGATTGCTAGGATCTTGGGAGAAGCAAAAGTTACTAATCAGTTGTATACCGATATCCCATTTCCTGCTGCATCCCAAACTGTTCCAGACAACCTGGTGCAAGTTTTTGAAGGGCATGGTGTCTCAGTGAAAACCTTTTATGAACAGAAGCACCTCTGTAAGCAGAGTCCCACTCCTAGAATCTCTGGATCCAAGCAAAAGATCTCAGCATAATTTAAAAACACTTTAGTGTTATAGAAGTTATGCAAGATGCTCACAGCAAAGAGGAACATACCCATACTTGCAGACATTTCCAATGTTTAATTTTCCAGATAAGTCAATGATTAGACCTAGTTTAGATAGACAGCTACAAAAAGCTGCCAGGGAAGGGGGGTAGCAGGGGCAGGCAACATTTTAATTGCTCCATGTAAATCAGACTCCAACACTCGCACTGGATAAATTTGGTTTTTAAAAAATCCCAATTACAGTTTTTTACTTACCTAAATTTACATCAGGCAACATTTTATCAAGAAACTGTGTCTCTCCACCGTTAGGTGATAAAAAATCAGCCAGAAGCTGGCTGTTGCTTAACTCTGGATGTTGGGAAAGTTTCTTTGAGGCAAGGAGACAAGAAGAAAAAATAAGAGATTTAAGTTCAAATCTTAAGTGATGCTAAGTTCCAAAGCATAACTTATGCTCAGTAAAGACAGTAAGATGCAATTTACAAAGGAAATTCACCTGAATTCATGGCTATTTAAGAAGTAAACAGTAAGTCACAAAAGTTTACATTGCTGGAGAGGAGAGATGATGAAGGATCAGTCCATACTATTGATACATATACTTGCATACCACTTCAACTGCAGTTTTCTTCCTACCTGCAGGTATTCCTGAAACTCCTCTCGCTTTGACTTTAAAAATTCATAGTTCTTTGGTCCAATGATCCTCTTTGAAGGTAGCTGAGCATCAGGGAATGTACCTAATCCAGTAAAATTTAATATGTTGACTCTATTGTAATAGAACCTTTCAATGTCAAAGTAAAAAGAATACTTAATTCCCAAAATGAGAAGATGGGAGTAAACATACCATGAAATTCTGTTAGTTTTGACTCAAGAACATAAAATTCAAGGTATTTTCTGTAGACCGACCAGTGTTCAGGACTATGCCCAACTGGGGAAAAAAAACACATTATGATTTTTTTTCCCTCCTGGTTTCAACTAAAGCAGTTAGATCAGTAGAGGGTTCTATATGCAAATATATCTAAGAAAATGAAGACAAAAGTGTTAAACATTGATACCAGTACTAATGGTCTGCTGTGGTCCTTAAAAGTTTAAACAAATGTTATCACCTAAGGAAATATCCTAGCCATCTGAAAGTATGGGGCATGCCAGAAGAGTTCATCATGAATTTCAGACAATCAACCTGGATCTTCATATTTGGAAAACTTATCCTTCCTTGGAATCACAGCTTAAGATAAAATGAGTGTCACATGAAGGATCCATCTCAGGAGTACCAGATACATATGTATGCCTACTTACCTGCCATTCTATCATTCCTCTCCACATCAATACAAAAGACTGGAATCCTCTCTCTTCTCTCTTTCCTTTCAAGAGAGGGGTCTTCAAAGAAGTCCACATATGGAATGGTAATTTTCCAGGCAGCAAGATTGCGAGGTGTATTAGGCATGCTAAGTGCCTCTACAGGAGAATCATCTTCCATTACCATAATGCCTTCCTCAATCTACAGAGAAAGATTTACACACCAAGGGACCATTCTGAGCTACATTATAAACATGACACTTTATTTTATTTGAAAGATACAAATCAACCTTCCACAACTTGGATACTGCTAGAAGTTTTGGCTTATAGCTTCCTCACTGGCCCCTAACCTCTGGCCATGCTGGCTGGGGCTCAGGGATGGGAGAGTTGTGGGCTGAAATGTGGTCTGGAGGGATCCAAGTTCTGGAAGGCTGATAGAGATATACCGATATAGAAAATTATTATATCCTTTACGGATAATATTCTTTATTATCATAAAGAAAAATACTATTATCCATTAAAAGTTAGTGTTTAACATAATGTTCTGCAAATAAAACTTTTTAGGGGCTATATTCAAAGGGCCGTACTTATGTATTGATGTGGCACTAATGAAAAATGCAGGATATAAATCTAATGAAGGAAGGAAGGAAGTGACCTCTAGTGCAATGCTAATCACATAAGCTTTTCAAGGAAAGCAGTCATGCCGGCTTTCAGTACTAGTATTGCACTAGAAATCACCTAATTGTCTTCGAGAAGCAGCCTCCCAAAGTTACACCCTTTTCCTGAATAAAGACTTGTACTGAATTCATTCAGTACAAGAGAGCCACAGTAAGACAGACTCTAACTTTTAGCTTGTTTGAATTAAAACCAGGATGCGCTGTGAAATATTATGCCGGACTGTCGTAATGATCTACAAATGTTGCAATGTGATACAAAACCCAGGGCACACATGAAATAGACTCTTCAACAGTGGCAGATTCTTCCTCTTGAAAATAAGGAGCGCACATTCATAAGTGCTTAACCATCTGGTGTTTCTCCACCAAGCTCTGTCAGGCTGTATTGCATCTTACTAAAGAAAATAAATTATCTACAGCTTCTGAAAGTGGCATCCAGATGCATAAATAAATCTAAGAGCAAGCAGAAAAAAATATGTTTAGGAGACAGAGAGTTTTTCTGTTCTAAAGAACAAGGTCATTTGACAGCCCGTGATAAAATTTCTGCAGGATTTGGGATTTACTATCGATTGCTTGAACTTCTTGTGTTTTTGTATGTAATTAGTTTTATATTGTGCTATTATATTGTATTCTTAGGGTTTTAAATGTTGTAAATGGCCCAGGAAGCTTTGGGTAACGGGTTATAGAAATGCAGTGAATGAAGTATCCACTCCACTTTATCCTCGTAGGTTGTTGCTTTTCTGGAAATTAGATCTGGAAGCCACATTTTAGAACAGAGAAATATGGGAGCATATGGGTCCAACCCACTTCCCCCAACCTACCACTTTGCAGTGTAGACTCCAGACCCATGTTGGGCTGGAAAAAAAGCAATATTGCTTGATTCAAAGACCTGTTCTTTTATCCCTGACACTAAGCAAGCATTCAGTTCCTTTCACCACTCTCAGAAATAATTGTATCCTGCTTGAAGGCACCTCTGGGTTTACCTACAGTGTTTTACCTACCCAGGATACAAGGAACACTGGATACAGGTAAGCAAAACATTCCATTCCCTCTCCAGCTATTGCAGTGGAAAGGACTCTGATTATTTCTACAAAATGCCTACAGCTGCGCAGGAAAAAGAATCAGGTTCATCTTGATGTTCAGTGGGCTACCTGTATGTATGCTAGTAAAGGCTACATTTTATCCATGGAGATACCTTGCAACCTCTACTGTTGTGACTTTGTACACTATGGACTGGCTTTTTTACACTTTTCGCTTCCTTATGGGAATGAATGCTTGTAAGGTCATGAGTTGTTAGAATATCAGCTAGAACAGGAAAAGCATGTATGCATTATATTTATTTATTTATTTACTAACTAACTACTAACTACCCCACCCATCAGTCAGGATGGTTCTCTGGGCAGCTGACAAATACCAAAGCCCTGGCTTAATAGTCACCTTCTCTGTTTGGAGAAAGAAAATAAAGTGGAATCTATAAATCACACTGGGTTAGGGATCCTGAGCTGAAGTGAAACCTGTAAAGAAGTAGTAGCATTATTTGGCATTTTGGATAATGTTCATTTCTCCAGTTTATCCCACAGGAGTAACAGTTTTTTGGTTCCAGGAGAAAATACATTTCCTGTTTGGTCTGGTTTATTTTAGAACTACAAAAGCCATGCTGTATGAGCAGTCACTCCTGTGAGGGCACTGGCATGATAGGATACTACCCAGAATTTACAAAGATTTACTGTCCTATTACTTCTGCACCTCAGAGAGTTAAGGTGCCTTTTCCATGATTAGACACATCTGATTCTGTTAATTCCACTGTGTAAATAAGTCAGCAAGCCTAAAATAAAGAAAATGGGAAAACACCAGGCAAGGGGAGAAAAGGAACAACTGTAAACAAGTTTTCTCAGTTGGACAAGACACAGGATACAGGAAAGATACAGGATATTGTACTGTCAGAACTGTTAGAGCAACTCACATCCTCTCCTTCAGCCAGACCACAACTAGGTAGCACAGCTCCTTCCAGTGTGGTACTCTTGAATACACCTTTAATTTTGCTGCTTATACTTCTGATTCCAGATGATTCTCCCTTTTTCTGGGTGCTTCTGTTTGTAATAAATTGGGAAAAACATACTGCTCAGTAAATTCAAGTAAAGAAAACTAATGTCCTTTAAACAGAAAAAAAAATCAGACCGTTCTGTCAAATGAGCAATTCTGTCAAATGAGCAAGAGTTTGTAGCTAAATTTATTGCCTGAGCAAGCAAGAGAGACCCAAGAATAGAAACAGGTCTCTACTCATGCTTCTTCCATACAAAAAGGGTGTTGCAGACAGAGGCAGAACTTGAGTGTATGTGCACTAATTACACACAAAGACACAGCACTGGTCAGGTGGAAGGAGAAAAGGAGAATCCAACCTTTTCATCCTTCCTCTACCAAAGTGGCTATGTAGAGCAAAGGGAGAACATTCAAGCACAGCAAGCACACATTCTTTTGGCTCTTTTCTCTGGGGTTTATAATCTAATTCAGTCTAGTATTTATCCACCCAGTAGCAAAACACTATTCCACTGGGATACCCTGGCTGGACAGAGGGAACCCCTATGCCTGTTTGCAGACAGTGTGCTACTAATGAAGAGAAACACTGCACCTCCCTTTGTCCCATGAAATACCTCTCAGTGGAGCCTTGTGCCCAGGTAGGCAGTTTTCTTTGTCCCAAATGCTGGCAGCCACATTGCAGAAAGTCAAAGGGATGCACTCAGGTCCCCCACTGGACTGGAGTGCTAAGCCTACCCTCTGGCTGTAAGGATCTTAACTTCAGATAATCAACCCTGCTCAGGTGGGAAGGAATACTGACACTGAGTTTCAAAATATGCAGATTACAGCCATGTTCTTACAGCTCCTAAATCAAAGTAAAGGGAAATCAGGACAGCTAGTCCTCATGCTACATAAACATAGCTAAGTAAGGGGGAACAGTTCTGCATGAAGTATGCCTCACGCTGCTTCACTTGCATATAAACCATCAAACACTTACACAGGGATGTTGGTTGTGAAACAGCCCTAATTTACTTCAAAGCAGAGGGGAGAGATGTCAAAAGACCAAACAGAAGCATTAGGACAGACTCAAAATACAGGAAAACAAACATAGGTGATGCCTCTTGGCTTGAGAAAGCAACCTGCCCTAACAAGCTGTTTTGGTGCATGGTTTAGAAACTTGTTCAGAGCTAGGGCAACTTACAAAACGAGAGAGAACAGCCATAAATCAGCAAGTTTAAGTAAACAAGACAGCTGTTAGCCAACAAGTCTGTATTCCTCACTGCAGCCATGGATTCACAGAGAAAGCCTAGCAATGGCATGTGTGTGACTCGTTACTCTTACAGCAGGCGGGTCAGCCTCATTTCTTAACTCAGAAATGCAGTTAAGCATCTGAGGGGGGCTGGGGGCAACACACAGGCAAAATGTGCATGAATGTATGGATCTTGTTCAAAATACGTTTCTTCAATCTAATAAATCAAGGAAGGGGAAAGCACCATCTAGCAATATGTATTACCTTGCTGTTCTGTGTTCTGCCAACAAATTTATACATTCGGCACTACTGTAAAGCAGAATAAGGCTGTCAGATATCCAATATTAAACCTGTCAGGCGCGCACGCTCAGAAGAGTCTCCTACGCATGCACGACAAGGGGAGGAACCTTCTCATGAGAACCAGAGCATCAATGAAGAGCTATTTCTGGTTTCAGCAGAACAAACTCTACTCCCCACTCTCACAGATGGTGAGAGTAAGAATGGGCCAGATACTGAGGTGCTGAAAGAAGACGAAACAGAGGCGCCAGAACAGGACGATTTGGAAGTAAACACGAGAACAGACTCTCAGTCTGAGATAGTGTGTGAGAACCAAACTGATAAGGGACAAGTGGGATTTGAGGGTGCTCGTTCTCACAGGCACAAGCACAGACTGGGGCAGCTGGAATCCAGATTGACTGAACAACAAGAGAGGGTTCACTACAGGGGTGCGGCTTCGGAGGGTTCATAAGCAAAGTGTAAGTTGAAGTTCGTTAGAATGAGGGATCAACTTTCCATCCTGTTGGGATTTTACATGTATAGCTGTTTAAAATAAAGACGTTTATGGTATCTGCTGGAGTGATTGCTTTCGTTGGGAAGGAGCACCAGCCACACGACACTAACCATTCTGATTACCCATCTGCAATACTTAAATTATTTTGAAGGAATACTACTGTGAACAAAAAGCATTATGGTGACCTCCCAAACCTAGACCATACATCCAAGTCTGGTTCTCTGATCCCCGGAACAATGCTACAGGCGAGTTGCCTATTTCCCCCCAAACTATTTCATAAGGCAGCACAAACAACTGGAACTGGTCCCATAACATCATCTGTTTGCTGGGAAAAGTGGCATTTGCTTCATTTTGGTGATGCAGCTGAGTCTTGCCAAAGGATGGCAGTGCAACTCTGCAATCACGACAGCCTGTGTTAAGCAGGGAATATATTATTATGGCCAGGCAATAATAAAAATATATTTATATTAATCCAAACCAATACTATAAGAGACATAAAAAACCAGAATAATTTCGTATGTTGCTGGGGGTGGGGGCGGGGGTTGTCTTCTGTGTCAATGAAAGCAGGCAGGCAGTCCCTAATTTTATCTACATTCCTAATTTTATCTACATTCCTACATTCATGCTAGCTAACAGTGAACTGACAAGCTTGGGGAGATATTTACTGAGGGGTCCTAGTTTTTATAAGCTTAGAGCAGAAACTCTTTAAAATGCTTAATTATTGCCATACATATGGGCCAAATCTACTCTTTTGTCCTGACTGAAGAGTTGTTCTGAGGACAAAGACAACACCTTCTCTGCATTCTCATCCTACCCAGGGCCCTACTATGGGAATATGAGCCTATGAATATACAATCTTTCAATAAAATGTGACAATATAATAAATATTTTGATGACAAGCTACCTGCACTATTTTAAAAACAGAAATCATGTGAAACAATGATGTGAAAAGTTGTAGAGTTGTATTTTATACAAGCATAGCACACAATTTAAATCATACACACACAAGCACATAAATCCTAGTTAGGTGATCTTTTTTGGATGCAGTTATTTTGGCAAGATAGGAAATAACGCCTCTACACATTCTTAAGTTCCATAAAAGGAAGGGCAAGGGTTAACTAACAGGGGCAGGGGTTAACTCACAAGGAAGGGCAGGGGCCAACTACTAAAGGCTACCTGTCACTAAATATAACAGGGCTATGGCATGGAAAAGGCTTATGTGAGGAGCATCTAAATTGCCACAACTGTGATCCAGTCGCATATATGCAAACAGGGCTTCCCTGTTCCCAGCAAAACAAAACAATAGAGGGGTGTATTTACATGTCATAGGACATTGGAAAATATATACCAGCTTATGCATGAACACAAATCTTGGTGGAGAGCATTTGTATACATACAGGTATATTGACCCCTTCAGGAATAGAGAAATTAGGCAGTTTACAGAGCAAACCACAATGTGGCCTGTCACCCTGACATTAGATTTCAAGCAGCCACCCACATACAATAGGGGAAAAAGATGATTGCATAATACACGTGTTTAAGTTTAAACAGATCTCTTCCTAAACCAAGGGAGATGAAAAGTTTTGCTGAAATACGCTTTGTTTCACTTTTCCTGAACACAAGCAGCGTGGCATAGCTTTTAAATGTTCAATAATTTGCCAATATCTGATCATGTTTTAATAGAAGACCATCAATTATGTCTACTGAGCACCTTCCATATTCTTCCTATAAACTGATCTCAAATCGAGCTGGTTCAATTCAAGCATAATGCGCCATTCAGCATGTCCTCCTAGCCTTACCTGCTACCCCATATTGTGCATCTTTGCTCCCAGAAATACAGGAAGTTCACCTAAGTATGTAAAGAGCCTGCAGAAGTAGCTTTGTTATGATACTCAGAGCAAAAAGGAGTTATCTGTTCAGAAGTGTGTACAAACCCCACATTTGTTTTAAAGAAATTGAACTGAAAATGTCAACACTTCAACCACATCCACTTTGATGAAGAAAATTTAAGTGCAGTTAAATTGACAGACTGCCACATGCTCCCAGGGGCATGCCACTGCAAGCACAATATCTGTTTGTTATACTAACATATTTCTGGTACTTCTGAACCTTTTTTTTTTTTTTGCAGTGTCCTGTCAAAAACAGCATGTTCTGACAAAGAATGGTGCAATGTTTCAAAGAACAGTTCATATCATATGCTTAGTTCTCTTAAGTTATTCTGTAAAATAAAGTTTAATAAAAGCAGAACACATCTAACAGCTGTATTAAGGAAAATTTTCAATATACACAAGTACCTACTTGTTTGATTTGGAATTGCGTGTTGGGGATTCATCTTGTCTTAAGAGATATCTGAAATACTAAGTGGGGGAAAGGGTGAGGGAGTTAATTACTCATCAGTATTCTCATTATACTTATTTTAATAGTCATGTTATAACAACTTGTTTTCAGAGTGACTTTCATACATGCAGTTGAAACAAATTAAAATCCAACAGAATCAGCACCAAAAGAATTAAGAAAGATCCATGTAAAACCAGCAAACCTGGCAACAATAATTAAATCTAATGAACAACTACCATTAAAAGACCGATAAGGTTTCAGAAATAGAACCAGTCTACTATGTAAACCAGGCAGCAAGAAGAGTTTTAAGAGCCTAAAAAGATACATGCCTGGCATTAACAAGGAAGAAATGAGGGCAGGCTCCAGGACTGATCTGGGGTGAGTGTTCCATAACTGGCGTGACCCCTGGCAAGATCTGCACACAAGTAGCCAGTTACCATTTTTCAATTTTGAGAATGGACTAAGAACAGAGCCAACAATGACCATACCAGGGCACAAGCAGAACTATTTATGAGAAGAGGGGGTTCCTGTGATACTGTGCTGCCCAAGGGTGGTATATATCAAAGCCAGCAGCTTAAACTGACCTAGAAATGAGCCCAGCAGCCAGTGCAAATGGTGCAATGTTGGTGTAAATACAATGATATAACCAGTTCTGGTCAGGTTTCCCTCTGCTCTGTTTTGTACTAAGCAAAACTCCCAAACCATTTTGAGAGCAGCCTCATGTACAGTGAATTGCAGAAATCCAAATGGAAGGTTATTCGGCATAGTCTGCTGAAGTCAGCTTGAAAGGGCTTAGTTGTCATGTCAGCCTAAGCTGGTGAACATGTTTCATGCCACAGTTGTGTACCTTGGGTGAAAGAGATGGACCCACAAGCACTCATCAACTCCAAACTTCATTCTTTAGGGTAGTGCAACTCCTTCCACAGTGCGTTGAACATCAACAGAACAAGCCACCTACCAACAGTAACTCTGCCTTATCTGGACTGAGCTTCAGTTGCCTGGCTCTCACCCAGGCCTTTGCCACAGTCAGGCACTGAGTAAGCATTTTCACTGCCCCACCCGGATTTGAAAGAAGAGATAAAGAGCTGCATGTCATCAGTATACCGATGGCCCTGCACTACAAATCACTGCATGACTGTAGGGCAATGCAGGGCGAGGCTGTGCAATAGTGGAAAAGCCTCAACCAAATCAGTATTTGGAAAATGGAGGGATTTCCTGTGGCAACTATGAATGACAAGCGCGCATTTCCATCTTCAGACTTACCTCACTGCTGTGGCAGAACCTAGGTGTGAAGACATTATCTAAGAGGGAAAAAACATGTTCGTAGGCTTCAAAGAGGCATCTCATTGTTTGAAGCTTCACAACTTCAATGTAGGGACCATCAGCAACTGGGGGTGGGGAGAGGGAATGGAAAAATTAATCAGAACCACTGCAATGGAAAATTTCTGCAAGATACACACACTTACTTTCAAGCAGGGCCCAAACCCCCAAATTCTGTTCTCTGCGTTCAAGTTGTCCTCTTCTTAATCTAAAGTACTGGTAAACTAACCAGTGGCCAGCAAGAGCAGATAAATTGAGAATAAAGGGCCAGACAAGGCAGAAGACCACCATGTTTTACCAAGAGGTCTTCAGTGCATTTGCTTGAACTAGGTGTCCTCCAATGTTTTGGCCTGCAAAACATCTGGAAAGAGCCAGGTTGCCTAACCATTGACTAAGTGGCTAATAGGGTACATTCTTGACCAAATTGCACCAACAACATAATGGAAAAAACATATGAGCTATCTGGCAAAACTACCACTTCTCCTGACCTGATTCAACTGTCTAGATCTCTGCTTCTTCAGCATCAATTAAATCTTCCCTTCAGTTCCACTTACTACTTTTTATCTCTTCCACAATGAAAGGATCAAATCTAATTTTGTCAACACTTTCATCCAAACAGTATGTTCTGTATATTTTTTGTACTTCTTCATGAAGGGACATCATCTCAGAATCTGATAATTCAGGCTGCAAAATCCTGTCATTAAATTGCTCTGTTGAAAATAAATAAATGTGTTATTTTCTGAACACCGATAATATCCCCTTTGGAGGAAAACACTATTTATAAAATGATTATAAGCATTGGTATAAAGATTTCTTATTTTTTCCCCACAATAATACATTTTATTTTAATGCATAAACTGAAAAAAGCTTTGCATGACAGCCCTATCTTGATCAAATCTTGATGCTAAATATTCAGGAATTAAGCAAAAAGCTGAAGTATGAATTTTAAATAAATTTATACCATTTTCCCTCTGCTGTTGATGTTTCACAGCTATTAAAGAGCTCTGACTGTTGGGTGGTATAGAAATAGACTGTGCACCATTTATAAAGGGGACTTTCCTGTGCATTCTACAGTGTGCACTTCTACTGTAAGTATACAGTAATAGGTGTATTAATCGCGCACCCCAAATACAAATATAGTAAGAGCTTATTGGTATGGCTGGATATCTTACCTACATCCAGGTAAAACTGCAATACATGTACTGCTCCTTCTTTTTTCAAAAAATTCATAAAGAGAAAGAAGAGATCCTGCTCGGCTTTAATTTCTTTTAGATCCAGCTGCAAGACCTTCAATAAAAAGTGAATTTTAAAAAATGGTTCCAAATGTCTGTAAGATTGCTTTTTGAAATGAAAATCAAACAGACATGTTTAAATTTGCAAATTTTCTTTCTTGCTTACAGAGGACTTTTTATTTCTGGGTTCTGCAAACTTCTGCAGAAAGGGAACCAACGCTGAAGCAGGTTCTGTGGCTTTTTCTGGCTGGAGGGGGAAAAAAGCAAGTTAACTGAGCAAGACTGTATAATTTCATAATCAGCACAATTTTAAATCTCATATTGTTGGTACTCACTGGGCTGTCATCAATGAAGATAAGCAGCAAATGATTTACAGTATCCTAAAAGAAGGGGGAAAATATTTGGAGTCAACAGCTGTGATCAAGACATGTCTTCTTCATGACACTCCCAACAGACAACCCACCTAGACAGTGCAGTAGCAGTCCACAAAGCACGCTGGGAGGAGAAGCTGGCACCATGCCCCCTCTCCTCCAAGTCCAAGCACTTCATGAATACATCAAGACCAGCCGACACCTTTCTACGAGTCAGACACAATCTTGTAAGATACTAGCCACAAAACATCTATCTTCGATAAAAACGTGTGTTCCAATAAAAATGGAAAGAATTCTGGACAGATCAGAGGCTAAAACTAATTGTGGTGTGGCAGATTAACTGGTCTCCTACTGAATTAAGTAAGGCTGCAAAACACGGAAGGTTCAGGAAGAAGCTGCTGCCCTCTCTTAAACTGCTTTGCTTTGGCTTTTTTCCTGACAGAGATTATTTCTGGTCACACAGCTCCACTGGGAAGACAGCAGCTTAAAAAAGAACTTCAGCACATGTGAAAGGAGAAATTTGTAACCACAGGGTGTGGAGCATATGGCCCTCCAGATGCTGCTGAGAGATGCCGAGAATTGCTATCCAACAACATCTGGAGGCCCATGTGTTTCCCTGCCACCCTTTCCACATTTGCTACACTTTAAAGCACCCTGATCCACTCTGCAGTGCCTGATATATGTGGCTGCCTTATCCAGCCATCTCTGAGATGCCTGCTAAAGACTAACATCACTGCGGTGACAGTAGGCCAATTTCCGTGTCATATTTTTAATGAGGATACATTTGAGCCAGCTGTCTCTTTCAAATCCTGAGCTAGGGAAACAGGATTCTACCAAAGCTGCAACTACCAGCAGAGAGGGCCTTAAGTGAATTGCCTACCCCTTGCCTTATGCCATGTTTCCGGAGTCAAGAGGACTCTGAAAGCAGCTCCTTCCAGAGGGAAGAAAGAAAGAATTGTTGGCTAGCCTTCTTCCTCATTACCTTTGGTGCAGCTGTACTGGTAGTTTAGAAGGGGGACAAGCAGAGGAGTGTGAAACAGGGATGTCCACCTCAGTCCAGAATGCTGGCTGGCTGAGAAAGCTTGAGAAGATGGAGACTTTTCAGGAGTGACTGGCTAGACTTTAATTGTTTCCATTCTTCACTGTTGCTAGTTTTCCTCCTGCTCCATCATCCCAAATTATCTAGAGCAGTGATGGTGAACCTTTTAGTGACCAAGTGCCCAAACTGCAACCCAAAAGCCACTTATTTATTGCAAAGTGCCAACACTGCAAGACAACCTGAAAACTGTGGTTTTAGTTTAGAAAAAACAACTCACAGCCACTCCAAACAAATCCTTGGCAGTGCACTGACCGGCCATGTGAAAGCTTGCAATGTCATCGCCTGGCACCACTACTCCTTTCTGAGCATGCACATGGCCCCTATGTACGCTGTTATCTGATGCTTGGCTGCTGGGGCAATGCTGGGGTGACTTGGCTCGTGTGCCAACAGAGAGGGCTCTGCGTGCCCGCTGTGGCACATGTGCCATGGGTTCGCCATCACTGATCTAGAGAAAGGAATTTGGCCACAGGGAAGGCATTCCACTCCCCAGCCCCCTTGGTAGCTGCCTCTATTTCCCTTTCTCCAAATGTATAGCAGTGTTGACAGGGAGGCCATCACAACGTGCAGGACTGATTGTCAGGCCTTCATTAGGTACCAAACGCCTACCAGCAGCAACTTCCTGAATATCCTTCAGCAAAGATCCCTCAGTGGTAGTTTCCTAGCACTTCTAAGACCTGACAAACTATAATTTTGTCAGATTTTGGAACTAAGAGGTTACTGATAGTAATAAACTCCGGCCTAACGAGGTCTGAAAAGAAATCCTTCAATTTGCACCTACCTACCCCATCAGCATTATACTAGAAAGTGAAGTTTGAAGAAAGGGGCATGGACAATTTTGGACAATCTCAGTATGGACAAAACAAACCGAGCAACCTATTTCTGAATACATACAAGTGCGCACACACATAAAGGACAAGGAAGGAAAGCTCAATGTGAACCAAGATGGAACTCTACCAGCCAAAAAGTGAAAAACTTAATTAGTGTGAATATAATCAATTACTATTAAAACATAGAACCATGACACATCATATGAAGACAAAAAAATAAAGCAAATTCTTGTTTAACAATTGTATAAAATCATCCCAATGCCCAGCACAGCAGTGAAGAGCACACCAATAAGTAGTACACAAATAACTGTAGCATCTTTTTTTAATAATTTATATCTTGCTCCTCCTTAAATAATAAATACAAAAGCCATTTACAAATAAAATCAGTAAATTTAACAAAACATAATTACAAACATACATATGCACAAGTGTGCACACACACACATACTAAGAAACTGTTAACAAAAGATTCCTACGGCTGCATGAAACAGCATCTCACAGCTGTTTGCGGTAGCATTTCTCTGGGAAAAAAACAAACAAAAATTAGAGCTAGCAACCTTCTCAAAACTTACCGGATCTGCTAAGAAGTCCATGGAGGGGAGGAAAACAGAACCAGACAGGATTTCTCTTATAAGTAAAGTGAATGATCTGAAAGGAATAAAGAGACAATTTTAAACAGTCGCGTTTTCTCTCTTATCACAACCTGTGGAACTTTCAAAAACTTAACATTCAAATTAAACAGGTGCAAAATTATACAGTGCACTATTTAACAAAATACTATACAAGAGCCTCTCATCTACAGCTGCTCCGTGGGACTGCTTTGGCCTTCAGTGATGGCTTTTATTGTTGTTTTTAGTATTTTATTGTAAGCCACCTAGAGAATCCATCTGGATTAGTGGGTGGCATACAAATTCAAAAATAAATAAATAATACAAATGTCCTACATTATGCTTTGTAGAAGAGGAATGACTGTCCTTCTTAAGCTTCCCATGTGACAAACTCCTAGCTGGAATGAACTTGGGGCCGCCATCTTTTGAGCAGAGTTTTTCTTCAGCTGCAATCCTACATCCACCCACCTGGGAGCAGGTTATATTGCAAACAGCAACAACAACATTTACTTCTGAGTAGGCATGTCTAGGATTGCACTGTTACTGGCTTTTTGTGTGATTTATTTATGTTAGGAATACTAGGCCACTTTAAAAGAAGCCATAAAGTCAGGGTGATGAAAAAGCTATGCCTAGAAATCCTAATGTACAACCCAGATACTTCCACATAAGCCAAGTGTGTGCAAGCAGAAGCTTGCTAGACTAAAAGAAAATGAAGGAAGTCTCATGGAATAGTTCAAAGAACTCTAAGAACCAATCTGGACATATGTCTCCCCATCTGCACAAGAGCTTCTTTTCATTTTCATAACTAGCTCTGCATGTGCCTTGAGCATTCAAAATGGCTTCCAAAATCAAAGTAAACTTGAAGGCCTATTTTGGTAAAATTCCACGTATAAGACAGAGCATCTGCAAAGAATTGAATAGTACCATATCAACTTAGAATGGACATATTCATACCTATGTTGTGAGCCGCCCCGAGGCTTCGGCGAATGGGGCGGCATAGAAATGTTTTAAATAAATAAATAAATAAATAAATACAGCAGAACATTAGATCTAACATTTAAAGCACATTTAATTGGCCCTTTCTTGAATATGCAGAAGAAAACCAAGTCAGGCTATACTGAACTGCTCTCTCATCTACCAACAGTGCCAGGGCTGATCCCCTTCCTGTGATCACAGTTCACAGGTCTATTGCAAAACAAGGCTGGTGCAAGTCATGTGTCAACAGGAAGATTTCTGAGATTACATTAGTTTTTGAACTTCAGTGCATGTTACACCCAAGTATGGAATGCAGATATTTGAACATCACAACTTCCTAATATACCTGCAGTCTGTTGCCTTCGGAGGCAGAATATAGGCAAAAAGAAGTTCAGTAAGTTTTTTTAAATAAAGGAGCTCATCTCTTCTACTTCTCACAGCAACATGGAGTTCTGGCCCATATTCTTCTAAAGCAGCTTGCTGTAAATATTCAGCATTTTTCACTGTAGGAAAAATGCAATTCAGAAAGATGCATGTAAAATATCATTTGTGGAGTTCAAACAGAACAGACATTACCTACAATCAACAGTCAGAAAATAATGAAAAGAAACTTAAAGACAATCAATAAAATAGCAAACACACACACACACACACACACACACAAACTACAATGTGATGCAAATGGATAGCAGGCAACCTTCAATGGCTTTAAGAAAACTACATCTCCAAATGTCAGAAAACATGTCTCCAAAACGACAGCACAGAAGTGGAAATGTAAATCTTTTTTTGGAAGAGCTGCAAAACATGGGAACTGCCACCAGGAAGCAAGTATCATCAGAAGATCCCAAGTCATGGGAAAGGACTTACAGGGAAAAAAAATTCCCTGAGTGAGTCAAGCACCAACCTGTTTCTGACTTTAAAAGTTAAAAGCAGCACTTAAAGTAGGCTCAGAAATTAATTATGTATTATGGAGTGAAATGCACATCATGGCATATGAAGCCAATATATTAACCTGGAAAAATGCAACTGCTTTACATAACAATTCACAGAACCTAAACCACAGATCTACTAAACCACAGATCTACAATGAAAACTTAGCTATGAAAACTAAGAGGCCCAGTTCTACAGATATTCATCTATTTGCCCCATGGATTGAATTATTCGCTTGAAACAGCTGCATGTCATTAGCTACAAGGGAAAAACCTAGAATTTCAACTTGTTTAATACTGCACACACTTTTCTCTTTCAGCAATGCACCTTTTCATTTCTTACCACCTACTGATGACTGGACTCCAAAATGGCTGGAAAGAAGCACATTTATTTAACAAAACAAGACTGCTGATGTTACCTTTCTGTCTGGCTTTTGCTATTACTTCTATATGCTTCATAGCTGCCTTCAACATTTTCTTTGTTATAACAGCTGGAATATCCACCTGAAAAACAAGTAGGAAAACATGGGCATTACTACTAAAAAGAATAACTACTAAACGCATTTGCTTACATAGTAACTTGCTAGCAGAACAATAAAACTAACTTATAATAAAATGACAACAGTTTAGAAGCATCTTATTTTAGTTTTCTGAAACTAATGAGATTTAGGGGCAATAAAAGTATCCTGATATACTGGATTCTCTAACTGTACTACACTACCAACACTGACTTGTTTAAAAGTGATAGCCACACCCAGATAATGTCCTCTATTTTCCCCCAACATTAAATTCCCAGCACCCTCACTAAAATTCTTTGAAAGATGCTATAAAATAAAACAGGTATGTGTTTGTAGAGTGGATGGATCAACAGTCCTTAAATAAGCTTTATTACCAACTTCCTAAAGGGTTACTTAAAATTCCACTTTTGATGCAAACAATGTAGTTCTTACCTTGTAAATTCTGCGAATTAATACAGATGCAAAAAATCGCAATGTTGCTCTGAGTTCATCCACAGATGATTCATCGTCAGTTATATCCCTGCAAAAATCCAAAACCAGGTATTCTATTGAAAGCTCAAGGACAATTAGCTACTATAAATATTAATAACTTCAATCAAAATAATTTATAGACTAAATTAAAAGAACATTTCTGACAAAAGAACTGAAAGTGATTATATGCATCAAAATGAAGAAATGAATCCTAAGCAACACAACTGTAACTCAAATAGTCATGTCCTATGTATAATTTAAATCACTTAAAAAGAAAGGAGGAAAATGATATGAAAAAGACAAATCTGTAGTTTTATGTATATAAATCAAATCCTTATTATACATAAATCAAAACATTTTTTCAAGGGAAGAATAACTGATTGTATTTTGTGTATAAAATTATTGTTCTAATATTTGTGAACAATATTTTTTCTTGAGAAGTAAACTTTGCAATATTTATTTCATTTGCAGTACAACATTCAATTTCTTAGCCCTTCTGAGTTATCCCTAACTGGCCTCACCCTGCTGATGGACTATTATTTATTGTAGCAGAGGCAGCTGTCAGTGGAGTCCAGAAGGAGCGGTTTTAAGCAAAGGCTTTGCAACTCCCTTCTCAGGAAAGCCAGGTCCCCACCCCGTTTGCCTCCCATAATTGCCAGGCAATAACCTGCCTTTTCCATTCTGGCACACCTTTGAAAAATCATCATCATCATCATCATCTTGTGAGATTGCGTTGGATTATTTCTCCGGGTTTTTTAAAATGCTGTTTTAATTTTGGCAGTTTATCTAATTTTACTATTCTAACTGATGTAATGGTATTTTAAGCTTTTCTATATTCCTATTAAGGTTTTAACTGTACAGTTGTACCTTGGCTCACGAACGCCTCAGTTCACGACCAAATTGGGTCGCGAACAGAAATTTCATAAAAATTTTGCTGCAGGTCGTGAACTCTTCATTGGGTGACGATTGCGTCGTGCTGTGGAGTGGGGGAGGGGAGATGGCCGCATTCATGCTGGGGGGGGGAGATGGCCATGATTGTGCTCGCCTCCCCCCCGTGCCCACCTCCCCCCCCAGCGTGCCTGCGATCGCGCCCGCCTGCCCCCCCGCACAATTGCTGGGGGGAGATGGCTGCGATCTTTGTTGTTCTTTGTCACTTTGCTTCAAATTTTTGTGACTAAACAAAATAGTTGCAGAACGGATTAATCTTATTTACATTGACCCTTGTGGGGAAATTTAATTTGGCTCACGACCAGAGCCCTGGAACTGATTAACTTCGTGAGCCAAGGTACCATTGTGTAAGTTTTTAATGTTGCAAACTGCCTTGAGTCCCAGTACTGAGACTATGAAGAATATAAATACCGTATTTTTTGCTCTATAAGACGCACTCCCCCCCCACCAAAAGTAAGGGGAAATGCCTGTGCGTCTTATAGAGTGAATGTGTGTGTGCCCGGCGCCCGGGATGCTGCCAGCCCGCCTGCACCACGTGGCACCACCTGGCCAGCACGCGCTCGGCGCGCGCTGCTCCACGCCCCCCTCCAGCGCAGGTGAGAGCTGTGCCGCTCAGGGGGAGCGGTGCAGAGGAGGAGGAGCCACGGGCTTTAACCCGCCGGCCACACGGAGAGACGGACTGCTCACCCCCACCGCCCGGGAAGACCTGCCGCCACCGCTGCGCTGCCCGGAAGACCACCGCCGACATGCTGCCGGCCCGGCTGCACCACACCTGGCCGGCACGCGCTCGGCACGCCCTGCTCCGCCTCCCTCCTCCGGCGCAGGTGAGAGCTGTTAATCACAGGTCGGTGTGTGTTTTCAAATGGCAACCCATCTTTTAATGAAGCCCATGGGGAAGTGATGGGGAATGTGCCA